CTTGGATCTGGAAAAACATCTGGAGACATGATTTTATTGGCAGGGAAAGGGACGAAGAACAGAGGATCAAAGAGATCATCCTAAGAGAGCTAGTGGTATCATCCCAACCGGACCAAAGAAGATGGAGTTTCGATACCGCAAATGGCTACACGGTGCGCAAGGCCTATTCTTTGATGGCTGGTCAAAATAGATTAGTGGAGACAAGAATTTGCAGAAAGCTTTGGGGCAAATTGATCCCGTCCAAGATCAGCTGCTTCGGGTGGCGCCTTATTTTGAAGGGACTTCCGACGAAAGCAGGGATCCTAAAAAGAGGTATCCAGCTTCAAGAGGAGGAGACTTTTTGCTGCATTTGTAGAAAGGAATTGGAGGATGACAACCACTTGTTTGCCACATGCCCAAAGATCCAAAGTCTGTGGATGAGATGCTACAACTGGTGGGGGATATCCCTAACCCTTCCTAACACAATTTCTCTTTTATGTGAAGCTCACAGTATAGGGATCAAAAAGTGGGTAAATTCTGAAGTTTGGTTTCTGATTTTCTTCGTGGTTGCATGGTCTATATGGTACACAAGGAACTCTATTATACACAACTCACAACAATGGGATGAGGATAAAACTTTTGACTTAATTCAAAGGAGAACATTTGCTTGGATAAGGGGAAGATCTACTAACACTATGTTTCCTTTTTTCTATTGGTGCAATTCCCCTAGTACATGTGTCCAAGAAATTCCCAAAAGGTAGATTTAACATTGAAGTTTCTTAGTCATCACTTTAGTTTTTGGAACGATTCCATAGTTTGAGGATGCTTTCATTATCTCCGAATGCATTCTCTGTTGTATTTGCTATGACTTTTTGATGTTACAGATTGAGTACCCCTTATACTCCTACAGATAATAAATTTTGATTCATCTAAAAAAAATCAAATATGCTAATTTACTTCAGCCACAAGGTAATTAGGCAAGCACGAGAAATGTGTCGGTGTACTTCAATTTGGATTATCTATATTCAACATTATCAATTATTATATTCTTTCTCGCAAAATTTGCATGTTTGTCGTTTACTATAAAAAGAAATACATGTTTGTCGCTTTCTTGAGGTTCCGAAGGTAGCGTAGTGAAACTGACAGAGTACTTGAACTGGAGAAAAAATTAAGTAAGATTTTTTATTTTAAACTGAAATAGTAGAGGAATTTTTAATTGTGCTGAGTACTTAAGTATTTAAATAATAATTTTTTTAATAAAAATAAAAAATTTTAAATTCAAAGCTTATAATAAATAAATAAAATTAGTTAAGAAATAAAAGATATTTATTTTTTATTATATAATTCAAGATTTAAGATAAAAAAACCTTTAAATTGTTCAACTTATTGTGTTTGGATAACCTATCTCTTTTTTTATGTATTTGATAATAATAAGTTATATAAAAATAAATAATTCTCTTTTTTCTTTAAATTTCACTCAACTTAATTCACAATTTCAATTTAAAATCTTTAATTTTAAATTTTAAATTCTTAATTATTAAATCACTTTTTAAATAACCATCTATCAATATTCAATAGTAATAAGTTCACACTGAAACATCTAGGTAAAAATACCGCTTTTATTTCAATTTAATAAATTTCTTTTGGATTTTTGAAAAAGAAGTTCACATCGAACATTTCTCTGATACTAAGGGTCTGTTTGGTACAACGATTAAAATTCAGAAGGTAGCGGATAGCAGGTAGAGGATAGCGGATAGCGGATAGCGGTTACGGGTAGCAGGTGGCAGTTAGCGGATAACATATAGCGGATAACGGAAAGTGGGTAGCGGATGATAAATAGCAGATTCGATAAATATAACTGTTTGACTGTACAATGGTTAGCGGTTGTTTTTTAATATTAAATTACTAATAAGAACAT